GGATTTGAATCAGACTGAAAAGACCAGTTGTTGTACTCATTTCTAACTTACCACGAAATGCTTCTCTTTTTCATTTATTTTAATGTTTTATTCTGAGCATTTCCCCCTTTCTCATTTTTATTTCAATCTCCCATTGACTTTGTAAATTTTTAGAAAACTTAATTCTAAATTCTTTTGAAATGAATTCCAGTTTATTGAATTGTTTGTAACACAAAATCCCATTTTACACAACAAAATGAGACAGACATTCAGTTTTATCTTGTATTTTTTCAAGTTCCAGTTTTCTTAAAAATAGTATAATTCTTATGAGAAAAACCATGGATATATAGATTGAAGGAAAAAATAGCCTTTATCATTACCATCTTCACTAAGAGATAGTACGCGCTCCTCACCGACATAATTATATTCCCCTTAAAGTGAATGCTCCACCCTTCCAAGAAAGCAGGCTAGTTAACTTCTTGATCTTATGCAATTTACTCCAGAGCCGTGTGGCTTTAGCGTTTCAAGAGACAGACTGAAAGAATGAAAACAGAAGCCCCTAGTAAAAGCATCAAACATTCAAAATCTTAGAGGCCCAATCAGATAAGAAAATCAGTGAAGCAGGCATGGTAGACATTAGCAAATCAGAAGTCACACCTTATCTAAAGAATGCAGCCACTATTCACCTTCAGGCAAATTATGACATTGTATGAACCCAATGTAAGCAGATCATCTAGTTTTAAAACTGAAGTCATAAATCTTTGTTTGGGAAATTTGCCAGGTTTTATGTGTTGGCAGGCCAAAGCCAGCCCATGAATTGCCACTTCATAACTTATATTTCAGAGATTAAAGTGGATATGCAGCACTAGCATTTCTGGGCATTCAAGAAAGACTGACATGCACATTATTTATTTATGTGTAAACTAAATGAACAAAGCAAAAATTATTAGAAGATTGCAGGGAGCATGAAGGTAGAAAATATAACCCCCGAGTAGACTATGTGCTAAATAGATTGCATATTTGTTCCTTTATGTCATTTGATTTTTTAAGATTTAATTTTGTAATTTATTTTTACCAGGAGTCAATTTATTTCATTTGCCTTGTTTTCCCAGAGGGATATATATTAGAAGAATTACTCTCTGTGTGTTGTTCTGTCTCTGTCTGTCTCTCCCATGAACTAATACAGCTCTTTAGTGCATACTTCTTGTCTCCATCGTAGCTACTAAAAATCTTGTCCTAGAGAGAAATGATTGAACTGTTCTAAGGTCACGTGGTCATCAATGACTATGGTGGAGTTTTAATTCCAGTCTCATTGACTCAAATCTTGCCCTTCTTACCTAACTCTTTCTCTAGTTCTGACGGGATTGCTTTATGATTGTTAATTATTGTTGTTATTATTATTATTTTCTGACTATGGATGAGTAGGAGTGAGGAATGATCAGAATTTCCTTGGGGTTCTGTAGATCCACTCTGGGAAGACAACACAGTTTATTAATTCAGGACTTACTTCTTTAGAATAAATTCATAAAAGTAGAAGTGCTAAGTAAAAATTGTCTGAGTTCCTTCAATATGGATTAGCAAATTGGCCTTCATAAATTAGGCCTACTGAATCACTTAATTCCCGGAGGAACATGAAGTTCTTCTTTTCTCCATGGCTACTAATAGTGCCTCAGATAATGCTTCTGAGAAGGCTTAGGCATTCTGTATGATTGTCTTGCAAATCGTTATTTATTGATTTTTGTGGTGCTCCACATAGAACCCGGGGCCTTGTGAATGCAGCAACAGCTTACCTCCTTTCCAGGTTCCCAGACGAAATGTTCAGTTCTTTTCATGTTTAAACAAGATAAAGTAGTTTCCTAGTATCTCACAAAAAGGAAAAAATGTGTCAGAGAGAGAAAAGAAGGGAAAGAGTGAAGGATGGAGGTAGAGAAATAATTACCTTTTATCCACTTGGCTTCTTTCCCCTTTTTTGTATTTCATTAATGTTTTTGCGTTCATTTTACATTTCAGCCCCAGTATCCCCTCCCTCCCCTTCTCCTGCTCCCCACCCCCCCCATCCACTCCTTAGAGAGGGTAGGGTCTCTCTTGGGGAGTCAAGGAAGTCTAGGATATCAAGATGAAGCAGGACCAAGCCCCTCCCCCTGTATCAGAGTTGAGCTTGGTATCTCACCATAGGGAATGGGCTCCAAAAAGCCAGTTCATGCATCCTGGATAAGTCGTGGTCCCACTGCCATGGGCCCCCAACAGATAAAGCCTCATAACCATCACCAGCACTCCGAGGGCCTAGTTCGGTCCCATGCAGGTTCCCTGGTTATTGTTTTTTTTTTAAGGGCTTAGATTTAATGAACAAGCATTGATGTTCTTGTTTGTTGATTCTTTGCTGTTGTCACTTTATAGCTGGCACCTCATTTGCCTCCTTTCTGTTTTCTCTGTTGTCCTCTTTATTTAAATGTCTAATACACTAATTATTTGCTATTATTTGGTATTTAAAGTCTTTAAGCATATAAATTTGACTCTGAGTTCATTCACATAATACTCCTTAAATCAAATATTATTAATATGTGGATGTGCTAAAAATGCAGATTCTTGCTCACCTTCAGTTAATTTGGGGTGGGGCCCAGGAATCTCTGTTATTAACAAATCCCTAAAGCTATACCTACGGTAATCTTATGGTAATTATTGAGATATATATTTTCATTATAATTATGCTTATAATTCACTCTAATACGAATAGTCACATGTGCTGCAACAAAGGCGTTCAGTTTTTTTTAAATTTTTAAGTGTTTTTTCTTCCCCATTTTTGTTAATAGTACTACCTTTAAGAGTAAGTAAAGATGGCTAGTTATATATTGTTAAATTTCCCTTTATTTTCAGAAAAGTTAACCACTTTCTAACAGCTATGAACTGCTGCTATCTAGAATCAGCCATTGCTGAATTTATCATGTTTGCTTCCATTTTAGAGACAAAGCACATTTTTACAGCTTTAACCCCAATTCCGTTTAGTCATTGTCTGGAATCCTGTGCCATTTCCTCTTCCTTGTGGCTATAAGTTTACAAAGACTTGCATATTTTCTGTATTTTTAGGTTGACTGCCTCTTGTATGTTTTCTGCTTTTTTTTTTTTGCAGTACTAGGAATTCAACCCAGGGTTTTTTCACACACGATAGGTTTGTGCTCCATCAGTGAGCTACAAGCCATTCCCTCTAGCCTATTTCTATACACATATGAACATGTATCTAAAATCATAGAATGATATTTGATGTGTGCCAATTAATTATTAATATAAATATATTAAATATAAATTAATACACATACAATTATATTTAAAACACGTTCTCTTTACATTGTGCATTATATAAATATTAAACCTAGTATAGACAATCACATTTTTATTCAAGTATATAATGAGCCTGTATTTTGTTTTATACTGAGAATTATTGAGGTATTTGTGACTTAGTGATTTTAAAATGCTCTTAAATTATCTCTCGTGATTTTAAAATGCTCTTAAATTATCTCTAGGTTTTTGTACGGGAAAATGATTTTCTGTGGTCAAAGCATGAGAGATAAATAAATGATTTTGAAATGATTTATTATTCAAGTTTTCTTTATCAGTAGTAATTATTTTTATGTCCTTTAATCAATGAAATAGATAAATGTTAATTTTGCCACTAGTATTGTGTGCCTGTCAATTTTTACCTAAACTCTTGTCTGAAAATATATTTATTGTTTTTAAAAATTATAAATGTAGCATATCCGTCAAATTCAAAATCTTATCAAATAGAAAATAAGAATTATTAACAATTTCAGCTCTTACTAATTATTACCTTTATCATCCTGGAGTATAGCCTTTCATATTTCTTTTCCACAATACAATCTGCAAGCTTTCTGATCAATATCTACATGCCTGTATTGTTTCCATTTGTTTGGGAAAATATAAATTAATATTAAATATCATCTATTGTTTTCTCATAACGATACTGCATTTTAACGTATACTTTTAGAGACACTTAATATTACATGAATTAGCCACCATCTTTTAGACACAGGGATTATTTTATTGTATGGCACTATCATAGTATGTTTGAGTAATCCTATGTTACACACACGTTTAAAATACCCAACACTATTTTTCTAAATGCTACACTGTTAATATACATCATACATATGCTTTTTTGCATCGATTATTAGGTATTTCTAAACAAAGGTGCAAATATTTAAAATGTCCATTTGTATTTTCAAACTGCCGTATTACAACAATTCATACTCCAACCAGCATGAGAGTGCATTTTCTCGGCTCCCGGTGAAAAAGGTTTAACATTCTCTTTCATCTCTGCCAATGCGATAAACACGAAGTAAAATCTCATTGTTTTTACTAGAATCCCTTTGATTAGTAGTGAGCTTAATCATATTTTAGAAGCCTGTTGGCCGTTTTTCGTCTCTTTTGTAAAAATGCTCGCTCCCGCCATGCCTTCCCTTCCCCCACCCGGGTGTTCGTTTTCCCTTTTTGCTTTGTCAGAGTTCTTTACTATTCATTTTTCGTCCTTTGCATGGGGATCGGTTCAATTCAGGCTTTCATCCTTTCACTGCCTCCCAGATTGCGAATCCACATTCTCCATTGGTCTTTCAGTGGCTGCTAAAGAAGCTGCCTCCCTCTTCCTCCTCCCAGCCTCCTCCCTTCCCCCTTGCCTCGCCTCGGTCCCCAGGCTTTCTCTTCCAGCCTCCTTCCTTTTCCTTCACTTCCCCCTCTCTTTGTTTATTTCTCTCTCCCTCTCTTCCCCCCCCCCCCCGCCCCCCTCTGCAGGGTAGGAGTTTGTGCTCGCTGAGCGACTGTCGCTGGGCTGGTGCCGCGTCAGCAGGGGGCGGGGCCGGCAGGGGGCGGGGCGGGGCGGGAGCGCGGGCACCGCAGCTGCAGGAGTTGCTGGGAGAGTGCGCGGGCAGATCACAAGGCGGCGGTGGAGAAGGCCTGCAGACCTGCTCGCTCAGCCCTCGGCCTCGGCCTACGCCAGACCCTGTGTGCAGCCGATGATCGGGAGCCTCAGCCTCCATTCATCTCTGAGGTACTGTGTTTCGCTCTGCTTGCGGGGCCACCCAGTCCGCTGCTGCGGCGCCTCCTTCCTTCCTCCTTCCCTAGCGCCCTCTAGCTCGCCAGAGCCTTCCCTGCCAGCCTGCGTCACCGCGGCCGCCACGGCTGAGAAGGGCGAGAGCAGCGGCCCCCCGCGCCCCTCCCATGGCCCTGCTGCAGCCCCAGGCACGGACCCTGAGCCGGCCGAGCCCAAAATCATCAAAGTAACTGTGAAGACTCCCAAAGAGAAGGAGGAGTTCGCGGTGCCCGAGAATAGCACCGTCCTGCAGTTTAAGGAAGCGATTTCCAAACGCTTCAAATCGCAAATCGATCAGCTCGTGCTGATTTTTGCCGGAAAAATCTTGAAAGATCAAGATACCTTGATGCAGCATGGCATCCATGATGGACTGACTGTTCACCTGGTCATCAAAAGCCAGAATCGCCCTCAGGGCCAGTCAACCACGCAGCCTAGCACTACTGCAGGAACTTCCACGACCACGACCACCACCACCACCACGACGCGAGCGTCGACCACGGGTCCCAGGAGTAACCCCACACCTACGGTCACAAATAGCAATCCGTTTGCATCGGGGACCCTGGGAGGACTTGCTAGCCTTAGCAGCCTGGGTTTGAGCTCGACCACCTTCACTGAGCTTCAGAACCACATGCAGCACCAGCTCATGTCTACCCCTGAGATGATGATCCAAATCATGGAAAATCCCTTTGTTCAGAGCATGCTTTCGAATCCTGACCTGATGAGGCAGCTCATTATGGCCAATCCTCAGATGCAACAATTGATTCAGAGAAACCCAGAAATCAGTCACCTACTGAACAACCCAGATATAATGAGGCAGACTCTCGAAATCGCCAGGAATCCTGCCATGATGCAAGAGATGATGAGAAACCAAGACCTGGCTCTCAGCAATCTCGAAAGCCTCCCAGGTGGCTACAATGCTCTGCGGCGCATGTACACTGACATTCAAGAACCCATGCTGAATGCCGCACAGGAGCAGTTTGGGGGTAACCCCTTCGCCACGGTGGGGAGCAGTTCCTCCTCGGGGGAAGGCACCCAGCCTTCCCGCACAGAAAACCGGGATCCACTGCCCAATCCTTGGGCACCACCGCCGGCTACCCAGAGCTCTCCGACCACCACCACGACCACAAGCAGTGGCAATGTGCCTGGCAGCACCTCCGCTAGAACGCTCAATGGGAACACCGTGGCAGCAGCTAGCTATGTTGCTAGCATCTTCAGTACCCCGGGAATGCAGAGCCTGCTGCAGCAGATAACTGAAAATCCCCAGCTGATTCAGAATATGCTGTCTGCACCCTACATAAGAAGCATGATGCAGTCGCTGAGCCAGAATCCAGAATTGGCTGCCCAGCTGATGATGAGTAGCCCGCTGTTTGCAGCAAATCCTCAGCTGCAAGAGCAGATGCGTCCGCAGCTTCCGCATTTCCTGCAGCAGATGCAGAATCCAGACACACTTGCGGCCATGTCAAACCCGAGAGCAATGCAGGCGTTGATGCAGATCCAGCACGGGCTACAGACACTAGCCACTGAAGCACCTGGCCTCATTCCAACCTTTGCTCCAGGTTTGGGGTTGGGAATCCTGGGAACCACCCTAACCCCTGTGGGCCCAGTCACTCCCATAGGGCCCATCGCTCCTACTATAGTTCCTTTCACACCCATAGGCCCCATGGGGCCTATTGGACCCACTGTTCCTGTAAGCTCTCCTGGCTCCACCGGCACTGGGATCCCCACTGCAACCACTGTGACCAGCTCTGCACCTACTGAAACCATAAGTCCAACTTCAGATTCTGGTCCCAGCCAGCAGTTCATTCAGCAGATGGTGCAGGCCCTGGCTGGAGCGAATCCTCACCAGCTGCCGAATCCAGAAGTGAGATTTCAACAGCAACTGGAACAGCTCAACGCCATGGGCTTCTTAAATCGTGAAGCAAACTTGCAGGCTCTAATAGCAACAGGAGGCGACATCAATGCGGCCATTGAGAGGCTGCTGGGCTCTCAGCCATCGTAATTACATTTCTGTACCTTGAAAAAAATGTATCTTATTTTTGATAATGGCTCTTAAATCTTTAAACACACACAAAATCATGCTTTACTTTTATTTTGATTCTTTTAAATCTGTCTACTTATAAATCTAATACCATGCATTTTAAGGTGGAGTCCCTCCCTTCTTTCCTTCCTGCTCCTCCTCCTGCCACCTTCCCTCCCACCCTCGCCCTTCCCTTCCAGCCTGCCCTCTCCCCTCTTTGTTTCCTTGCCTCCCTCCTTCATTCCTTCCTTTTCTTTGGATTTTCTCCCTTCTCTGATTTGAATGGTGGGGATCAATGCTGTTTCACTCAAAGGTGTTGCATGCAAACACTTCTCTTTATTCTGCATTTATTGTGATTTTTGGACACAGGTATCAGCCTTCACAGTTGGGTGAACAAGTTCTGTCCTACAGATGTCCAGTTTATTTGCATTTTAAACATTAGCCTATGATAGTAATTTAATGTAGAATGAAGGTATTAAAAACAGAAGCAAATTATTTGAAGCTCTAATTTGTGGTAAAATATTGCTTATTGTGACTTTGGCATGTATTTTTGCTAGCAAATGCTGTAAGATTTATACCATTCATTGATCGTTTTTGTTATTATTTGTACACAGTACAGTAAGCACAATTGGAATTGTACATCTAGAAGTATTACTGTAGAATCTCTGAGCAGAATATGTGTAACCAAAATAAGAAAGAATATAAGAAATACTCCTGAAGCTAGGTATGTCTCACAATTTTGTAGAGTCTTACAGCATATTTGATAAATTTCTCAGTGAAAATGTTGGCTAGGCAAGTTCAGTTAAAATATAGTAGAAATGTTTATCCTGGTTTCTCTAAGTATACATTAATTGTACAGAAAACTTACAGTGTAACATTGTGTCAACAGTTGCAGATTGATTGTATATGACCTTAATCTTTGTGCAGCCTGAAGGATCAGTGTAGTGATGCCAGGAAAGTGCTTTTGACCTAAGATTTCCTCAGCTTCTCCCATGAAGAGACCCTAATATGCATTTTGATTTGTAATTGGAAATGTAACTTTTACTGGAAGTGTCATGTGGTGTCTGCATTACTTTTAACTGCTATGTATACAGGAAAGTGTATCTTTTGACTATCAGTTATTTCTCTTGTGCACAGGGAAAAATGCATTAAAATGACTAAAAAAATAAAAAAAAATTTAAAAAATGACAAAGCTGTTTCTTTTTGCCTTTTGGCTCTAGAATCCCCTCCAGAAGGGTTAGCTCTCCCCACAAGTATTTATTTAACAATGCTGCTCTACAGGAAATTCTTTTGACATGCAGATTTACATGTTCTAATTATTGCCCCCAAAGGTTAACCAATTATTAATTATTTCTTCACACATTTGAAATGTACATATTTATGCTTTATTTTGTACTTGAATTTTCTTTAGTTCCACTGAATTCTGTAGGCCTAGCACACCAGTCTGAGGTGGGGCTATGACTTCATATGTTAGGGTATATCCTGCTAGTGATCATTTTTGTATTTAATTTTTCTGATGGTTTTCATGCTTATTTTATTTTTCACCGGATGAACGTTAGCGTTAACAGGCTTCCCTCAAAACAGTACATTGAGAATTTGGCTGGGTTTATTTTAAGTGGATAGAATGTGGAAAACTATAGTATTCCATTGTTTTCTAGAAACATTTGTGGATTTATATGGTTATTTAGTTGGGGTGTGGGCTACTGGGAGTATTTTTTAAAGCAGGATCTCATTGACTAGTTTTTTATAGCTTTTGAGAGAATTTTATTTAAGTCCTGTCTATTTCCTGATAATTGTATTTTTAGGTATTACACTTGGAAGCTCATTGTGCTACTAATAGGAGCTTCTAGTATGTTAATGCCATTTTTATTATACAATTTTTTTTCAGAAATTTTAGATTAGCAATTCACCAAGACCTATTTTATAAAATTCTGATTGGTGTTTTCGAATTTTTCCTGGTAAGCTGCTCTAACAATGGTAAGTTGAATGCCCTTTTCGTCAAGTGTATAGCATAGGTACTAATTGCATGTACTGCATATTCTATAGTAGTACTAAGTCATAAAGATGAGAGTAGCATTTTGGTTTTAATTTTTTGCTTTAGCCAGAATGTGTTTGCTGCAGCAATTCTGTTTTGTGAAGAAACATTTCTCTGGGAGAAAGCCAGTAAGTTTGCAAAATTCTGTATACTTAATTCCTGGTAAGATTCATTGTACAGTAAGTATTGGTCATAATTATTTTTAAAGAATTTCTTTTAAATGCACCTAATAACATCTGTCCCATCCACGTTTCTCAGAACAACAGCTTAGGAAATGGTGATCAGTAATTTCACTGCTGTGTGGTACTGGGTGTTTGAGATCTTCACAGAGCTCTCCTGCAATAATAAATTTAAGATTTAATGAAGTGAATGATTTTAGAAGTAAATATCAAAACGGGAGGCATAGAAAATGGCAGTAAATCTGTCACCACATAAGAAGCTGGATGTCATCTGAGGCCTGGCTCAGGCAATTAAACATAAATTTATTTGAAATATTCAAGGAACAGAGAATCCCTGAGCTTTGCCAAATATATATTTTAAAAATTATGCTGTGTAATTCGAGGAAAGATCTGTGTCTTTATTAAATCCATGACTTCTCCCACATTTTAGTTTAGTAATTTTAAAAATACCTTTAAGTTGGCCTCACTTTAAATTACTTGTAGCTGTTATTCTTCTTATGTGATATATTTCCTAGTATTTTATTGCAGGGTTTTTTATAGTCTGTTTTTATTTTGGGTTCTTTCAATGTGTGACCAATATATTCACCTAGTCACTATTGAATCAAGAAACTATAGCCTGAATGACTATCCCTCTGTGCAGTCACTGAGAGTCAGCGCTTTTTTTTTTCTGGGTGGCAAATGCCTATAACTCAACAGCGTGTGGTAATGTGGTGGGAGCTTAAGGCAGCAGCAGTCCCAGCAGGAAAATGTCACCATCAAGAGAGCTTCATCACCAAGAAAACTGCTCTTTTGCGCCTTTGGCCTGTACTTCATGTATACACAGGTATATGTACATATGCACACACACACACACACACATGCACACACTTCCATTTATGGTGAGCGGGGACACACAGGTTGTAAGGACAGATAACATCCTGTTGGTGCATCTAAAGGGACTCTTGTTTCTGATGCAGACCTCCATGTTGAGAAACCGTGTCCGGGAGAGAAGACAGTCTGCTCTAAATTGTGTCAAAACAGGAGCATAATGGAGTAATTGTTATCAGGGCCTACTATAGGGATCAGACACGTGACCCATATGGGTTTCACACTTACAAACTGACTCAAATCTATCCTCAAATAATTAGTAAGTCCAGCCACATAGCTAGAGTTACCTAATAAAAGATGTTTAGCGTAAATCTTAATTTAGTAAAAGTAAAAAGTTTAAGTGCTGCTAAGTTCGACATTTCTAAATTGATATTGATACTGGGAGGCATAAATAAGAGAAGTTAAATTTCCTTCAGCTTCTATTCCCCTTGTTCAGTCCTTGTTCTTTAAGTTAGAAACTCCTAATAGGTTTGTACCATCAGTTTTTTGATCTGTCAGGCTTTCATAGAACTTTCTAAGGTTGGTAATATACTTTAATATGACCCTATGAACATAATTCCCAGAAATTCCTTGAGAGTTCTGTTCCTCTTTTTGTTTTGACAGGCTTTGCTCAATTTTTGTTTCAATCCTTTTTGTCAGTTTGTTAGAGGAAGAACAAGAATTAAGAACCTGTTCTTATGAAGCTGTCTTACCAGAAATCTGTTGGGACACTTCGGGGAAAGGCAATTTTATAAAACTAGAAAGGAGAAAGATGATTTGGCAGACATCAAGCACAGACAGACCACACACAAGAAGGAGCAATTTTTTTCAAGTGATGTAGGTGTTTACTTAGGCTTTAAAATTTAGGGTTGGACCCTCACCCCAAGATTTGATAAAAGCTCTTTTAACCAACAAAGTTAAAGGTTTTTTAAAAAATTCAACCTTTGAAAAGTTTTTTTTTGTTTTTGTTTGTCCCAACATCCAATGGCAATAGTATTCAGTAAATAGAAATTGAAGCATATAGCTTCAGCTGTATCTGAGCACTCAGGCTGGAGGCTTTTTAAGACAACACATTCACAACCCAACTTCAAAACTTCTTAGACCAGAGGCTGGGGTCAGTGGGTAAGAGCACCTGCTCTGTAATTATAAGGACCTGAATTGGAATCCCCAGCACTTACGTAAAAGCAAGACATTGCTATGTATGCCAATAACCCTAGCAATGTGGGCTGGGGACATCTCAAAAGCTTGCTGGATACCAGTTTGTCCCAATGGTGAGCTTCTGTTTTAGTGAGAGACCTTATCTCAAAGCAATAAGGCAGAAAGCAATTGAAAAAAAAACACCTGATGCCTTTTCTGGCCTCTTATTGGCTTATGTGTACCTGCCCACTCATGTGTGTATGCATCACACATATCATACACACACACACACACACACGCACGCGTGTGCACGTGCTTCATGGGCTAATATGCATATTAGCAAACTTAAGCTAATTTCAGGAAAATATTCTATAGTTTAACTATTAAAAGAATTACTGATGAGCACGATAAAGAAGAAATGTTCTGCCTTAACATGGACCTCATAATACCATCTTGTCTCATGTTAATTTCTCTGTTACACTGGAATAGCAATAATTCCCAGCAAAATCACTGCTATGTTCAATTATCATAACAACTTTATAAGATAGGACCATTTTTTATGTTTCTTTGTTTATAGATAAGGCTAGGTAACTTTTAAAGGTTACATTGCTATCAAGTGCCAAATTCAAGATTTAAACCAATTATGAGATTCCAGAACATTTTCTTAGCCGGTTCAGCATACTGCACTGTGTTAGGTCTATTCATCTGTCTCTAAATCTATTCATCTGCCGGAGAGATGTATAGTTCTGTATCAGGTGGCCTGGTGTTGTTCAGTAGGCCCATTAACTCTTGTTAAATAAATACATCTTTGCTGCTATTTACCCTGGAACAGGTTACATAAAAATGCACACATGAGAACCAACTTTGTCATAAA